TTGTCTTTATCTATGGAGATGGTACGTACGTGATTGTTGTCTCGCATGGCAATGTTGTCTTTATCTATGGAGATGGTAGTAACTTATTGTTTTTGATCAGTGTGTTATCACCTTTCACATCAGCTTTTTTCTCTAACTTGAAAGAACCTTTATTGAAAACCATTATTCTTGAAAGAAAAACTATGTGACAACACATTGAACAACAGTGTTATCTTGTCTACTTCCAAAATATTCCTCCAAAATATTACCAACACATCGAACAACATTCTTCTTTCAAAAATTACATAGAGTGATAGATTGAAACCTCAAGCATTATTTGTCTTCTTCTTTCTTCAGTCCTCCTCTGTTTTTTACTTTTTCAAGTAAGTGGGTTATGCAATAATAGATTCGATGAAACTTCCAATAAAGCTGTGACATTGCTTTTTATAATCCTTTTATGTTTTTGTATAATCTTCTACTCTTTCTTATTTAAGCAATAATCTATCATCTTCAAACCAATACTAAGCAGTAGAGTGAGAGTGTCGAAATAAAAACAAAACAAAATGAGTTCTGAAAACTCTGTCAAGAATTACAACTCCGACGAGAGTGATGCCCCCTACACCAACGATACGAACGCGGACTCCAACGACGACGGGGATAGTGGTGACTCGAACTTAGATCGCAGCCACTATTTCCGAAACATGGATCTCGGATACTTTGTTGCTGAGCCACGACTTATGCTCGAGGACCATGCAAAGTTAAAGGAACTTTGCTTAGAGAATCATAATCCCGAAGCTTTCTACATTGAAGGGTTATTACAATACTTTGTCCACAAGGAAGAACACAAAGGTCTTCGTCTTCTACGCCTAACAGCCCTTGGAAACAATAAAAATGGTAGTATGTTTATGGTTTGTTAATGCTTGTCCGAGGTCACTATTCTAATGGCGTAAAGTATTTGGATTCACTCAAATGGAATGAGAAAATGTCGACCTCTGATAAATGCTGGGAAACTCTCAAGATCTCACTCAAAAATATCGATGTTACTATACCGCAAGACTACTATATAAACATGGTTAACCTTGCACCACGGTCAAAGTGCAATCGTTATGACATGAAAGAGTTTTGCAAGGAGTGTTACTACTTCAAAAGGGCATACCAGTTTGTGAAAAATTACACTGATATTAGCTGAAAAACTCATGTGTTACCGATACCGTTTCCTCGATGTCTTCTACTTCAACGGTCTGCTGAGTTGTTTTTCTATGTTACTTGTGATAGTAATCTTGTGTGATTGATTTCGTATGCAATGTTATTAATGTAATGGTATATTTGTGTTATTAATATATGAATGAATCAATGTTGTGTAATTTTGTGTAAGTTACACATTACCATTTTGTATGGCCATAAATATTTATCATACAAAGTCTTTATGACCTAAATCTAATATTTTGTATGGCCAAACAAGGTTATATTGTATTTTTGTTTTTCTATCATAATTTAATGAAACAATGTCAAGAAAGATTTGGCAATAGATTATAACCTTTTGAGATGGGAAGATTTTGTTGCACACGAACACAGGTTCCAAATAGAATATTTACAACTGTCCTAGAAAAACATACTATGTTAAAATCATAAGAGTTATAATCTATTAGTTCTAAAATAGCCTTGTTTTTGGACAAATAGATCAAAATGGTCGATACTATAGCCTTGTACAAATATTATTTGTAACTATGTTGTTTCTGACCGTTAGAGTTATAATCTATTTACCCCTTTGGCAGCAATCGAATGATGGTATCGACCGTTAGAGTTATAATCTATTAGTTACCCCTTTGGCACCATGATTTTTAAATAAACTTTCGGTTTGACTTTGTTTTAGCAAAACGTGTGGGAAAATTTATATAGATAAGAGTTAGAATGTATGTTAAACAAATTGTTTTAATGTGCATATTTTAAAATAGAATATTCAAACAATAATACAAGTATGTGATATTTTAAACAAAAATTGTATTATAAAAGTGGTTTAATGGTATCTTTATTTTATTATCACTGAATGATGAGTGTTGTCATAGACGGTTGTGGCCATCTTCTAAGATCTTCTACTTGTTACTTATATAATGTAGGAACACAGAAATTTGCCATTTCGACCATAGCCAATAAACAATCTCAAAGTAATTTTGAGGCTTTTATATAAATAAACTCAATAACCTATGTGTATCTCATGTGTATTTGGGGCTGCGCTTTTCTTGTGTTTGCAAATTTGATTAGAGTTTTAAGTGTAGAAGCAATGACAGACAAATCATTGTCTTTGCAGTGTTCATGAAGTTGAAAACCTGAGATACAAATTTGATATTAATTGATGTAATGAGAGACTTGTAACTTGATAAAGATGGTTACTCCAACTAATTCTCATAAAGCAGTCTCGTTAAGCACATTCAAGTTAAGACATTAATACCTTACCAAAACGTTAAAACATGGTGATTACAAACCAAAAGCAAGATTCCTAACCGAGAAACCTAACAAAAGTTCACACATCAACACAGCTTTGACAGTAGTAAAAAACCTTCTACATCTCCGTTGAAGACATTGAGCTTACAAACCATAGCTAGATTTATGCTAACCGAGACACCTAAGAAAAGATCATACTTCTGCTTGACACATTATTCATACCGCTGGTTCCATGTTGTCATCTGAGCATGAATAGATTGGAATAGCTCTTCCGATAGTTTCTTCATCTCCTAGTAAATTTGGAATCTCATGCTGAAGTGTTAGTAGCTGGTGGATGAGGTTGGGGAAAATGAGATCTGTGTCCGAATCTGTTGCACGGACCATCTCAATCACTTGGTCATACACGAGATAACCAAAGTTCACTGGAATACGATTGGCAATAGCGTATAGAAGCTTGAGCCGGTCTTTGATCATTGCATTAGAATCTGGACCTGGTAGCCAATTTCGCTCACAAATGCGGTACAGAATCTGAAAGGCCGGGGTCGACCATATCTGTCTTTTTAAAACCTCTCCATGTAGAACAGCTGCCTCCGGTGAGATATAAGATAGCTTTCGTCAAAGTAACATCACTCCATCTGTAGGAGTGTGGAACGTCTGGTGTCATCATCAAACGGTTGATCAGTGTAGGGGAAAAGTTGATGAGATGTCCCCTAATAAAAACATGCTCGCTGTGAAAGGGTTTGTTAGAGATGAATTCTCTAACAACTCTAGGACAAAAGCTATTGACATGCATAACAGTATATGACCATCCGATTCTATCTATAATGCTAAACGCCTCACTTAAAGATGGATCAGTAGGATCTAGAGAAGCTTGAACTACAAAGCCACGAAGTCGAAGGAAACCATAGCTTTTACCGGTTTGATCACCAAGGTGGCGGAGATGATAACCCCCGATGACCGGAATAGTCCTAGAGAAAAGTTGTTGGCCTCTATGTAGACGTTCTTCGTAGGTAAGGAATGGAACTTGAGGCACAAACATGGTGAATAGGGTTGATGTCTCGAGAAAAGTTTCTTTGATAGTTCAAGAGAAGTCGAAGCTTTCTCTCGTTTAAAGGAAAACGAAAGGGTGGGTTTGTCACGATAGAGGGAAGCGTCCATAAAATGAAAGAATTGGAATTACTTTTGAACGTGGTATTGATAATCTGAGAAATTTTAGGACTTTGGTTATTAGGAGTTTAGAAAAATTGGAATTGAAATATATTTTTGTATTTTAGTTAGTTTTTTTTGTTGAAAGTATATTCTATGTGTCAAAATTTAATTGATGGAGTGACTTGTGATTTAGTATATAAGGGATATATACAGTTATATAAAAAATAGTAAGTAACTCTTTAAATAAATAAATTAATTAGTTGGACTACACATATATCAATTGGACATATTCCAAAATTAATAGTATTGATTTATACTTTATAGTTAAACCTACACTAAATTACTAATATTCATTTCTTTATACTATTATCCATGTTTCCAAACAATATAATTATCTCTTTATACTACTATCAATGTTTGCAAATAATATATTCATTTCTTTATATTAGTCCATGATTCCAAACAACGCTATAATTAATCTTATATCCAAACAATACAAAATATTAGATCTCACCCTTTTTAATAATTTTTCACAATTTTTTTTTCAAATTATTTAGAGAAATTAAAAAATTCAAATAATTTATAAAACAAGGAAAATCAACTTATTTTTACAGATTTAATCGGTTATTCATCTATTCAATTGGTTAGCCTCTGGTTTTACTGATTTTTTAAATTGATATTTTTTAAAATGAAAACTGAATTATCATATCACCGGTTTAACCACGATTCGGGTTGAATTTAAAAATACTGATTTAAATGCAAAAATATTTTAAATACATAAATTCTTTCAAATTACCAAAATATTTTTTAGTTATTTATGAAATTTTTTATCATAAAATATTATGCGCTTGCAAAATTAAGACCAAAGTTAAATTTAAATTTGATATAACCTATAAAATAAAGGTTAAGACCAAAAATTTAGAAATTTTTATATTATTTTAAAAAATTTAGATAATTATTAACATCAGAAGTAACCAAACTCTCACGGTGATTTTTTAACGCAAAAAAATTAAGTTTGAATTTGATTTTGCACTTGGAACAAATGTACAAAATTAATGTTTTTACTGCACAGTTATATCTACATAATACACTGCTTGATACTTTTAATATAAAAGATAATTCTGATATTGTTCTTTAAACATAAAATAAAATTGAACAAACTCAAAATTATATAAAACTAAAATATGTAAATTACATTCTAAAAATAAAATCCACGAATGGGCAGATCATGATCTAGTTATTATTATTTTTGAAATCCTGTGTGTATTTAGTTCACTGTTTCTTTAGTTACGGTATAAAATACGGATTAGTAACAAAAAGAGAGAGAGAGAGAGACAGAAAAACATTTCTTGATCCCAAACAAACAAAAATAACAGGAAATTTGCAGGTATCAAAACGTTGTCTTCCTTCTCAACCTTCTTCTTCTCCAAATGGATTCAGCATCCACTCATAGAACTCTCGTTGAAGAGAGAGAAGAGATCATGGTGCTTCCCAGTGAGATTAACACTCGACCCACCATTAAAAAATCCCATCTTTTAAAACCCTATGTACCCACCATTGATGGGTCTGAAACTTCTCTTCGTCCAGCTTCCTCTCCTTGCGTAAAGTCTTCACCTTTATGCGTTTCCTTTTCTGGGTGGAGGCTTCCGAACCAAAAATTCAAGTCTTGGTTTCGAAAAATGTCAGCTTTACACAAACCCATTTGGATAAAAGCTGGAATCTTTGAAGCAATCAAAGCATCCACTTACAAAATCCGCAAAAACCCGTCTCTCATTCTCTCTCTCGCTCAGAAATGGAGCCCTAAAACCAAAACCTTCGTGTTCCCTTGGGGTGAAGCTACGATAACCCTCGAGGATGTAACTCTGCTTCTGGGTTTCTCCGTTCTGGGCTCCTCTGTGAGCACTCCTCTCGAAACCTCAGAGATGAAAGAGTCAGTTTTAAAACTTGGGGAGAGTGTGAAGGGGGTCCGTGTGAACCAGGTTTCATGGATCTCCACCTTCGTAGATGGTGCGATGGAGCATGAAGCTTTCCTTGTGTTTTGGCTTTCCAACTTTGTGTTTCCTGATAAGCAAGGCTCTTCTATTTCGAAACATGTTTTCTCCCTTGCTGTTCGTTTAGCTAGAGGTGAGAGGATCGCTCTTGCTCCTGCTGTTCTCGCTAGCCTCTACAGAGATTTGGGTAAAGTTCATGGTTTAGCCTCTTCTACTCAGAATGTGGATGTCAAGGCTCTGTTTAAGTTGGTACAAGTGTGGATATGGGAGAGGTTCAAGAGCATTGGACCAAGACCTCATGTGGTACCAATTGGTGAACCTAGAATTGCTCGTTGGAATGAGATCAAACCCAGAGATGAGAGCGTGAGACCGTTTCTTCTTGATGATTTTGTTTGGCGTCCTTTTACTAAACCGTTGAGGAACTGGAACCCACCTCGGTTTTACAATGAAAAGGCTAAGAGGGTGAGTGATGATGATGATGAGTTTGTGTCGTTTGCTCGATGTGTGAGAGTTTCCAAGCTTGATGGTTTTGGTTTTAAAGAGGACTACTATCCGAATCGAGTGGGAATGCAATTCGGATTGGCTCAGGATCTTCCTGGTTTAGCTGCTAAACCTAGAGGTTACTTAACAGAAAAGGAAGCATGTGATGTTTACAATAGGCCTCCTCTTGATGGTTCAAAGAAACACATCCCTTCTCGCCTTACCACAGCTTCTGTTTCTGCTGCCAAATACCGAGGCTGGTTGATGAAGTCAGTGAAAGAACCAACTGAAACTTTGAAAGCAAGCAATACATGTGATGATGATGATGATGATGTACCTCCTAAGGTACTTCCATTGAGCCAAGTCTTTCAAAAGTTAGGAGAAGGAATTAAGAAAGCTGAGCAATTGACAAACAAGAAACGCAAGCAAGCTAATGAGAATGCAATGGATTGTTGTGAAACACAAGATGAAGAAGAGGATAACATTACCACTGCTCGGAGAATCAAATGCAGAAACAAGTGTGGTGATGTGAAGTATACTGGAGATCAAAGAACTAGTACTGAAGAAGATTGCAATGTTCCAGGCCTTCCTCAGAAGCTTGCTTCTGGAGATGAACACAACTCTTCAGATCCTAATGTTTCTTCTGATGGAGTACATGAGAAGGACGAAGATGGTAACACTACCATTGCTCAGATTATCAAGCTTAGAGATAACGTAGAGAACAATACTGAAGGAGTAGAATATGTGCCTGTAGTGTATAACAATGTTTCAGGCCTTCCTCAAAAGCTTGCTTCTGGAGACAAGACTGTAGCAGTGCCAGAAATAAAAGAAAGGAGTGAAGTGAATGATGAAACCAACAACTCTTCAGATGCTCTAGTTGCTTCTAATGGAATAGCTGAGATGGAAGAAGAATATGTAACTGTTGGTGAGAGACTGAACCAGAGAAAACTTGGAACAGATGAGCTAGCATTGAAGCTGGAAGCACGCATGTTGAAGGTGGAGAAGACTTTGGCAGAGATTAAACATTGGAAGATGGGAATAAACCAAACCAAGACACCAGTTTCTGCTTAGCTATTGCAGCTTCTTATGAAAGACAAAAAATAAACATAAAACACACAAATAAATATGGGAACAAAACTATATGCTGTGTTCTTTTTGGGAAATACATAAATTGTCCCACATCGGTAATATTGCCAGGGGATTTGTTCTCTGTGGGCTATAAAAAGAAGTGAATTTGACTATAAAAATTTACCCGTTTCTGTCAAAGGAAAAGAGTGATTCGTCAATGATCGTTTATTGACGGCGAATCGTGCCTCCAAATTTTGACGGACATATATTTTAAAAGGCGAGTTGGACCTGGCTTTACTTTGGTTGGGCCTGCTCGTCAATTTTTGGAAGCCTCGATACAAATCGAGGTTCTACCCACTTAACAAAATAATTTAAGTTGAGCTGATGAAATACCATGCACATGCCAACTGCAAAAATCTTGCCAGACTCACCAAATATTAAATTTCCAAAATCAGTGTCTAAAATTGGAAACTTGTTCAATTTTACTCTTTTACAACTTTATAAAAAACACTAGATATAGGAAAATAATATTGATGCTTTAATTTATGTTATAGTTTGATAATAGTTTGAGAATTTGTTTTGCATATATGTTGTATGAGATTTATTTTAGAAATTAAGAATTTGTTTTCCTATAAAGTTTCTGTTAGTATTTGTATTTTAATCAAAACAGATTTTATTTAATGTTTTAATTTTACAAAGAACATAAAATAATAAATTATTTTATATTTTAGGATTATTTTTGTATATGTTGTATGACAGATTTCAGAATTTAAAATTTGTTTACCCATATAAATTGTTGTTAATATTTGTATTTTAATAAATATGGCACATAAGTGGATTGTTTTTAACTTTATACTTAAGGACAGAGAAAATGTTCATACTTACAAATTTAAACCAAGTCTAATTCAAATTCAAATTAGAGTGAAATAAAAAAAATTGAAAGTTAAATAAGGTCAATCAAATTAATGACAATATCATACATATATCATACACTTGTTATGTACCAATTCAATGTTTGTTTTAACTTAGTATATGTTATTCTTATTGTTTAAATATATTATGATATTTAATGGTCATTTTAGTGAAATTTTTATTGTCACTGTAAGATCTTTTAACTTTTTATGCATTTATGACCATCAATATTTTTTGGTTATGTGATTTTGAATTTTTAATTATTCAACCCTAGAAATAATTTTGATCATCATTTTTATCATGTAATTAGTGATAATAAAACCATCAATACATGTATTTTATAGTCACAAAAATGTATGTGCATTTTGAAGACTCTAAATAACGATTGTGTGAATAATCGTTTATAATAAAAATAATCTTTTAACCATAGTTTTTATGAAAACAAAAACTATAATTTTGTGATGATAAATCCTAAAATAAATAAATAAATTATTTTATTATATATTGTAATAAGGTTAAAGAATACGATCTTAGAGGTAATTAAGAAGTTATTCTAATTTTATTTTAACTATATGACATTTAATATCATATATATCATTTGAAATTTGTATATAACTTTATAAATTTAATTTCATCCCTTAAATATTAAACCCTAAAAATAAATCATAAATTCAGATGTTATACGCTTTTTATGTAGTATTAAAAAGGGTATTTAAGTTATAATATTTCAAACAATTTCTTTAGTTTTTTCTAGTTTTTGAATTTATAACTTTTCCTATGTTTACTTAATTTATAGTTATTGTCGATTTATTTGTTTCTCATTTCCAACTAACAATAAGACCGTTTTATTAAAATTGTTTGTTATTAAATAATTTTCTGACTTCATTTTAATGATATATTTTCATACGAACATTTTAAAATGAATTAGAAATACTATATATTAAAACACATATGTAATAAGATGACGATAAAACTTGATTTAATTTTGGCTAAATACATATAAAGATCATTTACGACGATAATAATAATAATAATAATCTATTTTTATCACTAACACACAAAAATACCAGACATGTGTTTGCTTTTTGTATGACCAAACACATACAAAAACCAATATAAAGACTAATCACGTCGAACTCTTATTATTATTTTGTTGTTAATTAATTTTTTTATTATCATGTTTATCATCAAAATATTTATGTTTTAAATTACCGTTAAATATTTTTTTTTAAAATATTCACTTTCTTATGATTTAAAAAAATAAAAAATTATATTCTATAAATTATTTTATTTATAACTTAAAAACAAAAATAATATCAAATACTAATTTACATTTTTGTTTAAGATTTTAGAAAATAAAGATTACTATCATACAATCATTTACAATTATCTTCTATTCAAAATTTCCAAAAATTAAATTACTAGCAAATAATTATTTCAATACTATTAAATGATTTTAAAACTACTATTTTACAATTCTTCACTACTATTTTTACAGTTGTTTTTTTAATTAAATAATTTAACAATCAAGCATAAGCACAATGGTACATAAACAAAAATTCTAAACAATTTTTTAAATTAATATATTCAAAATTATTTTTTGCTAGCTTAGTATATATATTTGTAATCATAAGATATTTTAATACATGAGATAATATTAAAAGGAAAATTATTATCAAATATTTTTTGTGTAAATGTCTTTTATTTAGGATTTAAAAATGGAAAATTACTATTACATAATATTCTAAATTATTTTTTTAACAGAATTCGTTTTTGTCATTATCTAAATAGTGATATATATATATATATATTAACTATGAAATAATTTAACACATGTCACAATCTTAAATATATAATTGCCACATGTGGCACAATCTTGTTAATTAGTAACTTTGAAGAACCAAACTTTATATAATAAGATGACTATTTTACAAAATAAAAATAGACACGGTTCATTATTGTCCATTCTTACAAAGACATCGTGAAATCTTATTTTTCCACTTTATTTATATAGGTAGCTATATTAGGTTTATATTTTTTCATGTGATTATTGTCGAATGTCTCCATTTTATTGATTGATTCTTTAATTATTGGTTCTTCAGTTATGTTTTCTTTTTCAATCACTTCATCCTCTGGTTTTTCGTCTTTGGTTCTGCAGATTGCTCATGTGGTTCTGGTGGCATCTTTTTTTGTTGATTGAAGTTAGAATATCTTGTGGTTTCTGTGTTGTTGTTTCAGACAATCATCAAGGGTTGGAGAAGACGTGGACCAAAGTACTGAACTTACTTCTTGCTCAATGATTTGTGGGACTCTTTCGAGGAGTGGAGTGCCTATGGTGTCGGGGTTCCTCTTCTCTATGGTGTTGATTCGTTCGTTCAGTATTATGTTCCCTATCTCTCTGGAATCCAGCTTTATCAAAACCCATCAAGAGCCTCTACAAGTAGCAGGTGAGCTCTGGCTCTTCTTGGAGAACTAAAGTAGACTAGCTGATATGTAATGGTTGTCTTTGGTTCTTTGGCTTTCTCTTAAAAGGAGAGCTGGCGAAGACAGTTATGGTGATTCGCCTAGCGACATGAGTAGCGATGGCAGCAATGACTGTAGAGTGGTGAGAGTGAAGTTTTCAGTGACTCCCCTGGTGACCTTGTCTTTGAGTATCTTGAAGCTGCTATGCCATGAAGCCGTGCACCATTGACTGACAAGGCAAGCTTATATTCACTATTCTTATACATGGATCAAAAGTGGCTCAACGTTCTGTTTTTTTTTCTGTCTCATAATTATCTCTAACCTTGAAAATTACTGCAGATTTCACCTGTCATCACATTTTCTAGAAATCAGAAAATATAGGAGCTGTGATCTATTTCCTTCGAGTTGGGTCTCTGTTACTTGGTACTGTTTCTAACCCGTCACTTCATACAATTTCACTAATCTGTCTCTAAATCTTTACTCTTCTCACTTTCTTGAATGTACCCGATATAACGCATACCATTAGGCCAATCATAGCAAAACCTCGACGGTTGCTTTCTAACATTCCACTCCTTATCAACATCCTCTCAAGGTTTAGGCCCATATCTGCATATATATAACACGTAAGCTATGTTACAAAAACATTCACAAATCAACTCTTGCATGGTTTATGTAAGGTACACGCAATTAGAAGGGTCAAAGCTCAAGCAAATCAGTTGTACCATCGAAGCTTCCACTGCCCACTTTTGGACTCGCATCTTACAAGTTAAAACAGTCACTGGGGAGTCCATATAGTGACTTAAACGAAAACCAGAGAGTCGGGACGCTGCTAATAGCAGCTGAAGAGTGGCTGAGACGGTTGAAGGTTGTTTTATCGGATTTCATACACTTCGTATCGCATAGTGATTCGGAGATGAATATTCTAGTCGTTTCTAAAATCTGAACTAATTAAAGAGCGATATATAGCATAAGTGACATACAGTAAGTTTTTTCAGATACTTTTGAAGGAAACTGCGAGAATTTGTATTGACATAGCGATACGTAGTACACTTGTTATGTGAGTAGAAGAGAGTTTCATACGAATACGATAGATAATCAAATTTTTTTTTTTATAACCTTGGTGTGATTCTAAAGGTTTTCTAGGTCCAAAGACTAATCATCATGAGCCCCATAGAAATCTGGGTTTTCTTGCCACTTAAAACGTCCATGGGTGGCCAAGGAGAATCGAACCCATGGCGGAAACTCCAGCTGGAATCCATTTACCACTAGTCCAAGATCACTTGATTAAAATTAATTATTTGATAATCAAATATTTAACTGATGATTGGTTGAGCTTTAGGTTAGTGTTTTAGCTTTAAACTTTTTCAAAAAAATTACTAATTTGTAACTTTATTTTTCAAAGTTAAGACTTACCGCAAAGAAAATTCAAACTTTGACTAATCAAAATGTAGCTTTATTTTCTCAAGATACAGCAAAAAAAAAGATAAAGCTTTATTTTCTCTATTTGTTTTACACAAAAGTCTTACATCCTTATTTTTGGGGCTGTAGAGAAAAACAAAAGGAATTTTTTTAAAAAAATTCACGTCACATTGACTTACGATTATTTTGTAATCATTAGATCACTCGAGTATATTTAACTATGAAGTACGTAGTAAATAAAACTCTTCCAACATATATATAAATAAATAGATGCATGGTATTATGCAGAGAATTATAACAGTTATAAAAACATAAAGATATATGGTATATGTAGAAATTTTTTTTATTGTTAACTGCGTGGTGGCTCGTAACATTCGGAGCCTAAAGTGCAAACATGGGTAATCCTAGAAAAAAAATTGATTGGGGTCAATAAATAATAAAAGTGTCACAGATGGAATTTGAACCCTAGTTTTTTTTTGGGGGGGGGGGGGGGTCAATCACTACAGTTAAACAACTGGGCTACTAATTCTTTTGTAATTTTCTATACATAATTAAGATATTACATTTTTTGTGGTGTCAAATGACTTCACACCCTAACATGTGGGTCTGCCCCTGGGGACAGAGACTTTGTTTTTTTGTTTGACTGAAAAATGTAATTTTTGAATATATTTATTTGGGTTCATGTTGAGGCCGGTTCTTCTGGGGTCGATTAGGATCTATAATTAAAATACGTATAAAATATCGGTAATTTTTGGATCTGTATCATGTGATAAAGAATGTGTTTTTTTGTTCGGGTTTGGACTGGTTCTTTTCGAATCCGGGTCTTTCGGATCTAAGATATTTGGACCCAATAAATACTTATAATTTTTTGGTTCGAGCTCTGATTGGTTCTTCTTGGCCATGGATCAATTCAGATCTATTATTAAATTATCTATAAAATCTTTTTAATTTTTGGATCGGTATCAGGTCTAGATATTGAGCCTCTGAATAGGAAACGAAATATCTAAACTCCATCAAATTTAGTCGCAATCTATCATATATATATATAAAAATTCACAAAACAACTTTAAATAAACTATTAATAATTAAAAATAACAACTTTAAAGCTCTAAATTTTACATTGAAAGTTTCATATTAATTAAAAATGTTCCTGTTACAAAACCAAAACTAAAAAATATTGAAAAAATAATAACAAAGATTGTTAACATAAAGATAATTCAACTAAATTATAAAATAAATAAAGTATGTAAAATTGAACACAAACAAATCAGAGTTTTGGAAATACATGTTTTTTTTATGAATTGGTTCTTGTCGGATTGAATCTATTCATGTCGATCTTATTGAGTACGGATTTGTTCGGATCTGTTCTTTTCGTTTTTCAATTCTTTAGAGTAGAAGAATTTTGGACCCAACAAATACTTGTAAACTTTTGGTTTGATTTTTGGACCGGATATTTTTGGGTCAATTCCGGTTCTATTTTTTGAATCCAGCTAAAATGCCTAGATCTAAGCTGCTAAACCTGATTATAATATATCTTGAATAAAAGAAATATGATGCTGCAAAAAAAAAAAGAATAAAAGAATAGGGAAAATTCCTTAAAAATACATAGACTAAATTTTTTTGTTGAAAAAAATACACAGACTAATTTTAGTTGTCCATAAAATACATGAACTTTGAATTAGAGTTAACGTCATCTAACAGCGTCTTTATGTTATGTTAATCAGAGTTAACGTCGTTAATATCAAGGTGTGAAACCCTCAAAATTCAAAAGTTCTTGTATTTTATGGACAACTAAAATTAGTCTGTGTATTTTTGGGAAGCCTAAAAAGTTGGTGTATTTTTTCAGCAAAAGAAATTTAGTCTGTGTATTTTTAAGAAATTTTCTCTAATGAAAAATTACTAGTTGTATATATGCAATCAAACATCTTGTATAATAAAGTCAAGTTATCTCCCTTCTCCTGGTGTCATATCATCATTGAGATATGGGCTTCTTACGCCACGTGTCCCCTCAACAAACACTTTATGAAACCAGTTTTCCTTATCCTTTGCATTTTTAATTTTGGTTTCTGTCGTGGTTGAGTTTTTTTTTTCTTTTTCATTCTTTAATTTGGGCTTCTATAATGTTAATTTCTATGCCCAATTCCCTCTCTCAAAACATCTGAAACTCTTTTCTATTCATTTTTCTTGACGATCTTTTTTCTCTGAAACTGTAGGCGATCAAGCTTCTATGCATTTATGATATGTCATAACTCAAGCTTTAAATCAGGTATTAATCTATATTATTAAAAGAGAAGTACCCATATAAAATACCCCTGAGTTTTTCTAATTATTTACAATGTTATGCCACTGAAGTTATTAATTACCCTTCCTTATAGTTTTTTTTGTCTTTTCACTTTAATTAATGCATATCCAAAATCAAATTTTAACTGAAAAAATTATGGCAAAAATAATTAATGAAAATAATCATTTTCATATATACCTTTCGTAATTAAATAAATAAATTATATAGAAATTGTTTTACTAATTCCATATACATAATAATTAATTCTAATATTAATTAACCTACCTTTTAGGATTTTTTTCTTATTAATTATCTACATATCTTTAAATAGTTAATGAAAAAATTTTTTTTTCAAAGATATATAATTATATTTTATTATTTATAAGTAATAACTAAAGTAAAGTCACAAAAAGAAACATTTATATAATATATAATAAAAAGATTAATATAAACATATCATGTTATGTATTTTTTATATAAATAATAGGTCAAGGTAAATTCAGAATAATAAAAGTTAAAAAGTAGAAATATATAGGACCATATATTTTAAATAGTAAATAAAACAATTTAGTTATACATTATCATAAAATTTTGATCCATAAAAATAAAATAAAAACATTTGTGCAGATATACGGGTCATATTTTTAAAATAAGTATGACACAATGATAGTTGGGCTTTTTGCAAATTTGACTCAAAACTCCAAGTCAAACACAAAACTAACCTCTTCTTTTGACTCATCTTGTTTTTGTCCTATTCACCCCACATCTTCATTTTATTTACGAAAATGCCATTTATATGTTTTTTGAATTTTTTTTCGAAAATGGCATTTTTACTCTCTCAACCTCATCATCTTCAAGTATTTACAA